TAGCACATATCCTTGATTCTCAGGTATCCCAAGGGGATTTGCAATCCTGCCTCTCAGTCCAACACTGCACTTCACAAAAAATGCACTTGGGTTACACCAGAGTGCATGTTTACCGCTAGATCTTTAAGGCATGCCAAAGAAAGTGTTAATTAAAAAAAAATAAGACTGCAAAAGCCTTATGCAACTTTCCTTTTCCTCCTAAAGAAGAATTTCACATTTAAACTTAGGACAAACAAGAGAAAATGGCAGCAAAACTATTATGGAATCAAGTGTATAGGGAGTTACTAAAGCTAGCCAGTGTTCCGTGTGCCTTCGGCGTTTAGTCATGCCGGCCACATGATCATGGAGACATCTTCGGACAGTGCTGGCTCTTTGGCTTTGAAACGGAGATGAACAGTGCCTCCTAGAGTTGGGAACATCTAGCACATATGTGCAAGGGGAACTTTACTTTTAATGCTAGCCTTCACATACTGTAGCAATTATTCATGAGCATCTATCCTACAAATCCTGACATTACTAGCACAAAAATATATTAGGTTAAACATTGCTATCCCTATTCACCAAACAGTGTTTGGAACTAGAAAAATATCACAGTTAGAAATGGGTGTTACAAAACCTGTCGATTTACATTAAAAAGCTGCTATTTTTGCTTGAGAAGAACAGAAAGACATGAAAAGCTTTTAACAACATATATCAAACTGTGCATTTGATGATATGAGTTAGATATATGCATATTTCAGTTGTCCATTTCCAGCTGCTTTGTGGCATCAAACTTTTTTTATGTTAACAGATCACATTATTATCACATTTAGAAAAGAGTAATGGCATAGGGCGTTGATACATCGTTGGCAGCACAGAGTGCTATTTGAAACATGTTTAGTCTTTGCATTTCTAATAGTAGACCGGAGATGCACGAATTTTAGCATTAAGCTGATGTTTCATGATATAAAATGATTTAGCACAATAAATGAATATACTGTACTGTAAGTTCCATAGAAAATGTCTTTTGCCATGAAGAATGATTAAGAAAGTAGTCTCTCCTCAATAGCTAAAATGGCTATATCAGGTTTTGTTTTGATATTACGCCATAATATTCTGAAATAGCAACAATGGTGACAAATGTGATTTTAAAAATAAAATAAAAATATAACATTCTAGTGAGTTTCTAAAGGTAAAGGTTCCCCTCGCACATATGTGCTAGTCATTCCCAACTTCAGAGGGTGGTGCTCATCTCCGTTTCAAAGCTGAAGAGCCAGCACTGTTCAAAGATGTCTCTGTGGTCATGTGGCCGGCATGACTAAACGCCCATGGACAAGGTGCATGGAACACTGTTACCTTCCCACCAAAGGTAGTTCCTATCTTTCTACTTGCCTTTTTACATGCCTTCGAACTGCTACTTGGCAGAAGCTGGGATAAGTAATGGGAGCTCAGTCCGTTACGTGGCACTAGGGATTCAAACCTTCAAATGCTGACCTTTCTGATTGACAAGCTCAGTGTCTTAGCCACTGAGCTCACGCAACCCTACAAGTGAGTTTCTACTGAGCCCTTAAACCAAAAAACAAAACAAAAACTGAGGACTAAAATTTGAAATCATCTCAGCAAGCATGCATATTGGACCATAAATATTAAGTGATTAGATCAGGTCTCAAGGAATAGAGTAGAGTAGAGTAGAACAGAACAGAATTTCAGTTCCCTGGAAAAGCCCTAGGTGTTGACAAGACTTCAACAGCTCCATATATTAAAATTTTAACAGCAAGGCCCAATTCTGTGCCCACTAATAAATGGCAGCATCTGACATTCACAGGCATTATAGAAGATCCAATAATTAAGTAGGACTGTATGTTCCTAAAGATGAAAGCATTGCAGGACAGAAGTGTCCCAGAACTGGGAATTTACGAAAGGCAAAGTTTTATTATCAATAGCTTCCATGAATTTGGTTACAAGTATACATAAGGACTAATGGTGCATTTACTGATGAAAAGGTCTGTGTTTCAGTTAGGCAATCTGGGGAAGTTAAATAGGCCTCCCAAAGATGCCAATAATTTCTGTACTGATTTATCTTTTTATATGGATTTCCAAAGAATTCCCACCCACCCTAACAACATGCATCATGTAGAATCAAAGTTTGTTTAACTACGCTTTATTATATAAACCATTATATAGTTAAGTAGACAAATGTTAAGCTATAAAACATCGTTTATTATTATAGTACGACTAGGTTCAAGAATTGCATTATTTTCACTTAGTAAGCTTCTAAGGTAGCTAACCTCCTGGCTATCTGTGTATTGACAAAACAATGAAGTATCACTTTAGTGTACAGACAAATTAATATTTCAAGTCCATTTTAGTAATTATCTAAATTTGAAGCAGTCTCAGAAGGCATCACATTTTTAAGCCTATGCAGATGAGGTGTTTATTATTACAGATGTGAGTTTTAATTTGACCTAGAGCATCAACAATATCACCCCTACTCTCCTCCATAGTGGTACACAAGTTTAAATGATAGCTTTGTGAACAGAAGGTATTTGATAATGGATCTCTGACTGGCCCATTTATTCTTAGAAAGTGATTACTTAACTAGGAATACATATGACAGGACAAAATCAAAGTATACTTCCTGCTGTACAACAGATACATCAAAACATCACCTATAGACAGAAATTATCTGATACTTGAAAATAAGTTTAATCTGTTTGTGTATAGAATATTTTGAAGATCCAAAAATATGATATATGTTCTTTTACAAAGAATGCAATTAAAATAATAATCTATATACACACTGCAAATGTAGTACAGATAACACATTCATTTAAGCCCATTTATGCACATTAGTAACACACCATGTGGCAGAAAGACTAGGACTACAAGAAGACCCCTTGGCGATTTATTTTATATTAAATCCCTAATGGCCTCTCCTTATCTTTGCAAAAATATGCACAGAAGTCCAGACTATGCAGCCATTGAAGTGAATGGTTATTTATTTGCTAAACAAAAACTTCATGTTTAATGTTCCTTAGACATAAGGTAGCCTGCAAAAGTCACATTCCTAGAGCTCCATAAATCATTTATTTTTCGTATCCTATGTCTTTGTAAGAAGTATCTGGAGATATATTTTTTATAAAGTCTGGAATTTATTTCATTTGTCATTATTAAAATATTAAAGAGTGCCTTACTTTTGTTGGGTTTTCTAAATTGAAATTGAATTTTTATAATCAGCCTGAACGTAGTCCGTAAAGTAGTATTTAAGGCTTTGTACAATCTAGAAATTATTAAAACACTTTGTAATGATTTTAACTGGGAAAAAGGGCATATCCTAGGGCTCTAATTTTTGAACCAAGGTACCTCAAATGCGCTAGTTTAGAGAATTCATCCAAAATCCATAACCCGTGACTCCTGTGGAATTGAAATTTGGCAAGTTTTATAAAACATTTTAGGACATAAAAGATATAAGACATTTAGGACATAATACAAAATATTAGATATATCTATCTAATCTATCTCTGAAAAGATGACCCAATGGTTGTCTAGCTATGATCTAATACAAGACCTCTCATGTGATAGAAACTCTGAAAAATGTAAGTCTCCTTATGTCCAGCTCGACTCCTGGTAATTTTATGTTATACAGTTTTCTTGGCAGCAATTATCTATGTCTTTCTGCAGTGGCACCCAAGAACAATATTCCATCAGAAATTTTTACTTCTACTTTTCAAAACATCCCATCAATATTAGACATATTTGACAAATTTATATTTTGTAATGTCCCCCCCAAAAAAATATTTAAAACCAAGCAGAATGACAGATATCAATGCTACAGTTCAATCTATAATGTTTAGCAATACGCCCACTAACAAATAATTTTAAATTCCTAGGAAATAAATATGCCAATCACAGTATGTGGTGCATATCTCTTACCATGTAGCAGATACCATTATGATAAGTATGTTTGCAAGAATAATCAATCACTGATATCATGCATTTATTTAATGGGAAAATTAGAAAAGCTGAAAATAGTGTATTATCTGGGTGAACACATAATCTTTTTATTTTTTTCAAATAATATTTAATCCACATTTCCAATTATTTTTAAGCAACTATATTATGGCTACATTGGCAAAGAAGGTTCATTGATACCCATAACCTTTCTCTGCTTAGTTGTGGGAGAA